GCATTGCGAACCGAAGGTCGGGATTTGTTTTACCTGGCTACATGTACGTTGAACAACAACAGCATCTTTTAGGCACGTTTTGTTATTTCTGTAAACTGGAAATCGTTGACGAAGTTGGCTCTTTTACAATGGGGGTCAATGGGAAAGAATGTTTGTTTTCCCCAATTTGTGGGCGTGGTCGAGGGGAATTCCTTCTTATGATGTGAATATCGACTTGGTGTATAGTGATTTAACCTTAATCCAGTCTTAAATATAATATAATTATAAACCTAGATTTACAAAGTCTAGATTAGGTGTAATCTAAGATTAATTTAAACCATGTTGGTGCAACCCACCCTAACAGTGTAGGATATAGAGCAGATCTAAGGTCGTGCTAAAGGTTAAGATTTAGGAAGGGTAACTGATGTTGGATCTGTACCACAGGCGGCTGGTGGCACCTTAATTAGGGAGGGAGGGCTCATAGTAATGGCTGGAATGGAATCAATGGAATGGTATTGAACACATCAAACACGTGATATCCATGTGTTCAATACCATTCTATTCACTCCATTCCATAATTTATTATGATCTTTCCTCCCCTCACCAGCCTCCTGTGATCTGTACTAAGGCTATACAATAGTTGAGCTCTGATATAAATAGGCCTGCCAGTCTGTGAGATTTAGGCACCATCTGCTGTTTTTTTTAAATCAACATTACAGTTCCTAAAGTAGTGTATGGCCACACTGAGACGCATGAATAAGGATGAAATCATATATGACCTACTCGTTGTGCGTTTTTGTCGTTCAAAAGTTAAAATAATCTCGACTTCTTTCGGAGTTGCATACGTTCAAAGGTGGACATATTGTACATGGTTTTGTCACGATCGTCGAAAGGAGGAGACCAAAGCGCAGCGTGTTGAGCGAACATCGTAGACTTTATTTAATTAAAGAAACCACGATAAAAACAACAAACCAAAATGACGAAAGTGAAGTCCAAATCTGACACTGACTAAACAGGATCAAGGAAACAAAAACCCACCAAAACCCAGGTGAAACCACACAGTATAATATGGCTCCCAATCAGAGATAACGAGCCGACAGCTGACACTCGTTACCTCCGATTGGGAGTCATATGACTAATAAAGAACAATTAACCCAAACAATGAAAATGAACAACCCTGGCTCAATAATAAAGTCCATGGAGCCAGAGTGTCACAGTACCCCCCCCTAAAGGTGCGCACTCCGGGCGCACCAGCATACCAGTCTAGGGGAGGGTCTGGGTGGGCGTCTGTCCATGGTGGCGGTTCTGGTCCAGGTCGTGGTCCCCACCCCACCTTAGTCACTTTCCGCTTCCGTAGCCCCTTCCACATGACCACCCCCCCACTAAACCCCACTGGATTAAGGGGCGGCACAGGACTAAGGGGCAGCACCGGACTAAGGGGCAGCACCGGACTGAGGGGCAGCACCGGACTGAGGGGCAGCACCGGACTGAGGGGCAGCACCGGGCTGAGGGGCAGCACCGGGCTGAGGGGCAGCACCGGACTGAATGGCGGATCCTGGCTGGCTGGCTCTGGCGGATCCTGGCTGGACGGCTCTGGCGGATCCTGGCTGGACGGCTCTGGCGGATCCTGGCTGGCAGAAGGCTCTGGCTGATCCTGTCTGGCAGAAGGCTCTGGCTGATCCTGTCTGGCAGAAGGATCTGGCTGATCCTGTCTGGCAGAAGGATCTGGCTGATCCTGTCTGGCGGAAGGCTCTGGCTGATCCTGTCTGGCGGAAGGCTCTGGCTGCTCCTGTCTGGCGGAAGGCTCTGGCTGATCCTGTCTGGCGGAAGGCTCTGGCTGCTCCTGTCTGGCGGAGAGCTCTAGCGGCTCCGGTCTGGCGGACGGCTCTGAAGGCTCATGGCAGACGGGCGGCTTTGCAGGCTCAGTACCGACGGGCAGCTCCTGCGGCGCTTGGCAGACGGACAGTTCAGACGGCGTTGGGCAGACGGGCAGTTCAGGCGCCGTTGGGCAGACGGGCAGTTCAGGCCCCGTTGGGCAGACGGCAGACTCTGGCCATCTGAGGCGCATCGTAGGCCTGGTGCGTGGTGCCGGAACAGGAGGTACCGGGCTGAGGACACGCATCTCAGGGCTAGTGCGGGGAGAAGCAACAGGGCATGCTTGGCCCTGGGGACGCACCGTAGGCCTGATGCGTGGTGCCGGAACTGGAGGTACCGGGCTGAGGACACGCATCTCAGGGCTAGTGCGGGAAGCAGCAACAGGGCATGCTGGACCCTGGGGACGCACATGAGGCCTAGTGCGGAGAGCAGGAACAGGCCGGGCTGGGCTGGCGACGCGCACCGTATCTTTGGTGCGAGAGGCCGGAACAGGCCGGGCCGGGCTGGCGAAGCGCACCGTATCCCTGGTGCGTGGAGTAGGAACAGGCCGGGCTGGGCTGGCGACGCGCACCGTATCCCTGGTGCGAGTGGCCGGAACAGGCCGGGCTGGGCTGACGAAGCGCACCGTATCCCTGGTGCGTGGAGTAGGAACAGGCCGGGCTGGGCTGACGAAGCGCACCGTATCCCTGGTGCGGGGAGTAGGAACAGGCCGGGCTGGGCTGGCGACGCGCACCGTAGGCTTCGTATGAGGCTCAGGAACAGGCCGGGCTGGGCTGGCGACGCGCACCGTACACTTGGTGCGGGTGGCAGGAACAGGCCGAACCGGGCTGGCGACGCGCACCGTACACTTAGTGCGAGGGGCCGGAACAGGCCGTACCGTACGGGGAACACACACTACTGGCTGTACCTCGGGATTAGGAACGGGCCGGACCGGACTGGTTACACACCCCAGTACCTCTCGCCGAGCCTCTACACCTTCCTTCCCTGCTTTACCCAGTAGCCCCCTTAACCTGGTAGCCTCCTGAATCCGTCCCTTCTCTGCCTCCGTCAGCCCCCTTAACCTGGTAGCCTTCTGCATCTGCCTTGTGGCAGCCTCCTGCTGCTCAGTCGCCCAAGCCATGTGCCCCCCCCAAAAAATTTCTTGGGGTTGCCTCTCGTCCTTCCGACGTTGGCTCTGCCGACGCCGTTGCTCCTCTCGCCGTCGCCTCTCCACCGTCTCGCTCCATGGACGGCGATCCATACCCTCCAGGATCTCCTCCCAAGTCCAGGACCCTTTACCGTCCAACAGTTCCTTCCATGTCCAGACCCTTTGCTCCTGGACGCGCTGCTTGGTCCTTTTATGGTGGGTTTTTCTGTCACGATCGTCGAAAGGAGGAGACCAAAGCGCAGCGTGTTGAGCGAACATCGTAGACTTTATTTAATTAAAGAAACCACGATAAAAACAACAAACCAAAATGACGAAAGTGAAGTCCAAATCTGACACTGACTAAACAGGATCAAGGAAACAAAAACCCACCAAAACCCAGGTGAAACCACACAGTATAAATATGGCTCCCAATCAGAGATAACGAGCCGACAGCTGACACTCGTTACCTCCGATTGGGAGTCATATGACTAATAAAGAACAATTAACCCAAACAATGAAAATGAACAACCCTGGCTCAATAATAAAGTCCATGGAGCCAGAGTGTCACAGGTTTGACGTTAAATCACCGCCATTGTCTGTCATCCGGCAACAGATGACTCCCATTGAAAAAGCATTGGCTACATCCAGAATTTTCAATGGGCCACCCATAGGATAGTCAGAGACAGAGTGAAAGAGATTGAGTGTAAGAGGGTAAATGAAGGTAGAGAGAAAGATGAAGGAAAGGGGAGAACAGAGATATAAAAATGGAGAGCCATGAGAAAGGAGAGGAATAAGAAGGGAGATATAGAAGGCAAAGGAGAGAGAGAAAAACATAAACAGCTTTCGGTGATGTGAGATACTCACAGTGGAAAACATATATTAGGATAAATAAATACCTCTGCCAGGAACTCATTCTCTATCACACTCCACACACACACACACACACCATGTTTTTTTTGTTTTTTTTTTCTGGTTTAATTACCTTGTGTGTTAATTGTGAATAATCAGCTCACACCAGCCACCAGAGGCCATGGCAACTAATTATCTCAGATAAATTACTGAACCTTTTATTTCTCCTTTCTGTGAACACACATGTACAGATTTTCACTGAACCCTTGTCAGTCAGAGCTGATAGGCTGGCTGTTTTGTTGTTGAATCGCTTTGTTCTACAGCTGAATGGATGTTGCTGTTGTGTTTGTATTTGCGTGTGTGTGTATGTGTGTGTGTGTACAGCACGTGCATACGTGTGTGTGTATGTATGTCTCATGCTGGTGTGTGTATGTTCTCTCCCAGGTGGAGTGTCCTAGGTCAGAGTGTTTTGAGTCTCTGTCTGCCATGGAGCTGGCTGAACAGATCACACTACTGGACCACATCGTCTTCAGGAGTATCCCCTACGAGTGAGTCTGTCACCTCATATCCTAAAGTGATGATGTCGTTTCCTGTGTAGTGATGATCTCATATCAGTATGTGTTGTCTCTCTGTCAGAGAGTTCCTGGGGCAGGGCTGGATGAAGGTGGATAAGTCTGAGAGGACTCCCTACATCATGAAGACCAGCCAGCACTTCAATGATGTGAGAGTGTGTGTGTGTGTGTGCGCGCGCGCGCGCAAATGTGTCTTTACTTTATTTGGAGGCCTCCTACTGGGCAAAAACTGGTTGAATCAACTTTGTTTCCACATCATTTCAACCCAAAAAATAAATGTGATGACGTTGAATCAACCTGGAAAACTGATTGGATTTTCAAAAAGTCATCAACTTAAGGGCATTTTGTATTTTTTCCTCCCAACTTTTAACCCAAATCCAATGACATGGTGACATTTTTTGTTGATTTCACGTTGAATTCAGGTTAATTGACAACTGAACCAAATGTAAATAAAAACTAGACGTTGAACTGACGTCTGTGCCCAGTGGGCTATACTTAAAGTGAGTGTGTCTCCTCTTTACTGATCTCCTCTCTGTTTCCCACCCCCTCTCTCGTTCTCTCCCTCTCTCTCTGTCTTTTTCCCTCTCCCCCTCCTCTAGATGAGTAACCTGGTGGCGTCTCAGATCATGACCCATACAGACGTGGGCTCCAGGGCCAACTCCATCGAGAAATGGGTAGCTGTGGCCGACATCTGCCGCTGCCTCAACAACTACAATGGAGTCTTAGAGATCACCTCAGCTCTGAACCGCAGCGCCATCTACAGGTTGAAGAAGACATGGGCCAAAGTCTGCAAACAGGTGGGAAATTGTTCTGATTCTCTAACCTTCTCCAGAGGTCTGCACTCATTCACTCTCCCTCGCCCTTATATCGCAATTTCTACTAAGCTAACATATGGCATTTTTTCAGATGGTCATAAAATTGATCATTAACCATTTGATTTTAAGTTATATAAAAATATATTTTACAAATATTTGATGAAACATTGAATTTGGCCTTAACTGCTATAGCCCACAGAAACTCATTGAATAACACATTTGTACATGGCAAAACAGACAGTCAAAAAATTTATCAGAAGTAATAAGGTTTTGAAGTGTCTGTCCTATATCTGAGCGATATAAGAAAATTCAGGGATTTTTTGTAATATTTTAATTTCTTTGTTGGAACTTAACCCCTATGCACGTTGTGCAATTTTTACAGCCCTGTACTGGGTTACCTTCAGACGACTCCCCTGAAGCTTGTGTGCGTCGTCAAATAACTGTGTGTTTGTGAACGTCTCGCCATTTGATATTGGTGACTTATTCATTTGTAGCTCAAACGGTTCGGGTCTTACAGACAGGTTTATGATGATTTTCTTGTCCGGATACTCTCATGTGTAGAAAAACACAGCTTTCATAAGCCCCATGTTATGGAATAGACACAAGCTTTATATCGGTGGAAAGAGGGTATTAGGCTGCAGCCACTGCAATAAGGTAAATCTCTAGCATTAAACACACAGGAAGCTATTCAATATTCAAAATGGCATCACCGTGTGACACACGGGCGCGTCAATCGGCTTTAAGCATTGGATTGGTGCAAGCATGGCTGGAGGGAGTTCCTACCATATTCCTCACAACAGTCCATTCCTTTTCAATCCATGAAGGGAAGTATACGAGTGCAAACTTCGGGAGAAAGGTAGAGCATTTGAATGTATTTTTTGCTAATAACGCTTTGTTGAAGATCTGTTCTCAGATCTAAAGGGCCCGAATTGGTGTAAACGGGGAAAGCTCCCCAATATCGACTGGGAAGACTGGGTGGAGCTAAACAGTTAGGGGTTAGGGAAAGGGGTAGGGGTGAGGGGTTGATTCAGCCCATCTGAAATTAGCCCGCCCAACTACCTCATCCCTATATTGTTATTTATTTCGCTCATCTGTACCCCAGTATCTCTATTTGCACATCATCTCTTGCACATCATTCCAGTGTTAATACTAAATTGTAATTATTTTATTGCCTTACCTCCATAACTTGCTAAATTTGCACACTGTATATTAATTGTATTTCTGTTGTATTTTTTTTGATTTTTGTTTTGTTTTACCCCATATGTAACTCTGTGTTGTTGTTTTTATCGCACTGCTTTGCTTTATCTTGGCCAGGTCGCAGTTGTAAATGAGAACTTGTTCTCAACTGGTTTACCTGGTTAAATAAAGGTGAAATAAAATAAAATAAAATAAAATAAAAATTTCAGACCCTGATGAAAGTAGTTTGAGACCGAAACGTTGCTAAATAAGATCCATTAAATTGTTGAAAGCATCAAGATTACCAGTGTGCAGGAGTTTTTATTATTTTTATTTGTTGACTTCAGAACAGCCACATTTGACATAGGTGTGTTTGGTTTTGACAGACTAAAGCTCTGATGGACAAGCTGCAGAAGACTGTGTCGTCTGAAGGGAGATTCAAAAACCTGAGGGAAACCCTGAAAAAGTGAGACACAAATGTTATTGATGAAAACTTACATCAAGTCCTTTCTTTTCAGTGAGGGAGGTGTGGCCCAGAGTATTATGTCCCCAACTCTCTTCTTGTCTCCCTCCTACTTCCCCAGTTGTAACCCTCCCAGTGTGCCCTACCTGGGTATGTACCTGACTGACCTAGCCTTTATCGAGGAAGGAACACCTAATTTCACTGACGAGGGCTTGGTCAACTTCTCCAAGATGAGGATGGTAAACACACAAACACATACACACGCAGGCACTCTGTATTTTCTCTCTGTATTGTTGGGAAGGGCCTGTAAGTAAGCATTTCACTGTTAGTCTACACCTGTTGTTTTACAAAACGTGACAAATAACATTTTATTTTATTTGACACACATTGCATACCAATGTGAAACCACTTTCATCCCATAGAATACAGCATGAACACGTTCAGGAAAGCCGCAGGACTGCTGTTTCCATTGATCTGCCATTGATTGAATTGTGTTATGAGATATGTGATGAAGAGCTGTGTTGAAAATGTTGTGTTTCCTAGATCTCCCACATCATCCGAGAGATCCGCCAGTTCCAGCAGACACCCTACAGGATAGAACACCAGCCTAAGGTACGCCTACTTACTTACTAGACACTTTTCATATTGCCAATGGCTATTTTCCTAGTCTATTTTGCTTCAGTGTGTCCCCCTGCCCTCTCTCTAGGTGACTCAGTACCTGTTGGACAAGACTCTGATCATGGATGAAGACACTCTCTATGACCTCTCTCTCAAGATAGAGCCCCGCCTACCGGCCTGAGGGGCAGTCACCGCGAGCAACGGGAACCTGGCAACCCTGTCCCTCTATATGGGCAACACACCTACATACCTTGGATAATGAACGGCAGATAGAGAGTGGATTATGGCAGAGAGAGAGAGAGAGAGAGAGAGAGAGAGAGAGAGAGAGAGAGAGAGAGAGAGAGAGAGAGAATTAAGAAGGAATGTAGAGAGAAAATCCTTGTTGTTTTGAGATGATGATGATGGAGTGATCTTTTGAATTTGCTTTCTGCGAGGAAGGGTAAACAGGAAGTGAGGTGTCATTGCGTGACCTCATCATCCCTCGCCCAGGAGCGTGACATCATTGACATGAAACATGGTCCTTCTGCCAGCAGATCAAATCAGAGTTGGTGGAGATTGAACAATCTTTGGGAAAATCTCAAATGGCACCCTGATCCCCATATAGGACTGCACTATTTAGGGAATAGGTTGCCACTGAGACGCACCCTTTTGTCTTTAAAAAATGGTAAAAGGTGTATCTTAAGGAGATGAAATGTAGCATGTATAGCTCTAACAGAGGCGTGTCTGCACTTGTGTATGTTACGCTATGCTGCTTTACTGTGCCATGTCCTTGAGCTGAAGCACCCATGCTTTCACACCAAATGGTGATCACTTGACTTTGCATGATCCTAACTGGCGTTTTAGTGTTTATTTGGCCTTGGTCCTGACTCCTGCATGTTAACATGCTTCGCTCTCTTTGGTCTCTGAAGACTACACAACCACTATGCATCACCATCTGCCAATCATAAATCACTTTATTAGGAGGGTCGGATGGAATCTATGGGGGTAGAGTTTCAAACACACCTGCCGGAATCAACTCATACATTACTACTACTAAACATATTAAACATGTATAGCTACACTTTTAATGGATTAAACGTTTACACAAAAATTTAATGTTAGTGGTAAATAGAAAATCCCTTTAAGATTCAGTCTGACTCTAGTAATGAGAAACGTAGTGCTTCATTTAGAATTTATTCATCAACCAATCTACTGTCCAAAAACTGTCTCAAAAAATAAACTGGGCGGCAGGTACTGTAGCCAACTGGGTGGCAGGTAGCCTAGCGGTTAGATCGTTGGGCCAGTAACTGAAACAACACATTTCACTGCACCTAACAGGTGTATATGACAATAAAATAAATAAATAAAAAAGATTAATTTGTAACAGTCTACCATTTATGAGCATCGTGTTGTTGAAATTGCTCTTCATGAATAATGAAATATTAATCTTGAACTCACATGGTACAAACTGGTATCTGAAAGAATACATTACATTCCGGTACTCCACATTCAGTAAAAAGTTGTGATGTCTAATGTCCTGTAAGCTCTGCCAACTCTGTAGTTTGCAAGTCTATATGAAAGATGAGAATTAGACACTTCAAATGTGCCTTTATTATCGGTTTGTTCTATAGGTAGATTCCCAGTCCTCCATATGTTCTAACAACAAAGCCAATCAATTCAGATGAACAAGTAGTATTTCCCCCTCTTAAAATACTTTGTCATTCTTTGGTAAAGGTTGTAGATCCCTAATAAGAATGTATCTGCTCATTCAGATGGTATGGAATCATTGGGTAAATATCAATTGTAATTCCTTGATTCCTCAAATCCTCATCTCCTGCTCAAAGCACTTTGGAACAGAAGATCCTCCCCTCGGAAGGAGGCAAGGAGAAATGACAAGGATGTAATTATTTAGAACTACATAGAATTTAATAGGATCGCTGTGGGATCAAGTATATACAATTGAGATTCACCCATATAAAACTATTGTACTGCCATGGAGTGAGCTGGTTAAAGAGAAGTGGCCCAGACATTCCCATGCTTTATCTGACAGCAACACTTGTAGCACGTTCAGCAGGGCCTGTTCACAGCTTTACAACAACCACTCCTTATGCATTTTGATGAATATGTGGTCCTGTTGCACTTTGCTCCTTATTGAAAAATGAAAACCCAGCTAACAAATTTTGGTTCCCAGAACGATGTGGGAAAGTTATTTTTCAAATAACCAAAGGAGAACCTCAAGGGAACGTTATGGGGAGATTATGTGCTAGCTGGGAATCCTTTATTGTCCTCGAAAATTGAATTTTGTCTTCAGCTTCATTGGCTTTACATGGTCACATGAGTGTTCTAGTCCAGTCATCTGCATGAGTCTGACAGTAGCTGTCTGCATGAAGCGATAGAGGTTGCTTTAGAGGTTACATACAGGCCATGTCTAGACATGACAGTTAATGCAGCTCTTGTGTTCCGATCATGGAATTTCGAACTCATCAGTGCGTCTTCACTTTGATTAAAAAATATATATTTAACATATTAGTCATTTAGCAGACGCTCTTATGCAGAGCGACTTATATGAGTGCATTCATCCCATACATTTTTTTTTTCAATATATTTAACTTAAATGTACATACATTTACATCTTTGTTAAAATGCATGTAACGCCTGACAATTCCAGAAATGCATGGTATGACATCTAGTCTACACGGTGGCCAAAGTAGTTCCTAATTCGGCATATGACATAGTTTGTCCCTTCAGAGGATTCTTAAATTACTCTTTACGTATTGATCAATAGAGAATGTTTTTGGGGCCACCAAGCCAAAACTTTGGTGCTAGCTAGGTTTCCAACCAATTGGTGACAGATTTTCATGTGAATATTCTAAAATCCACATAAAGACAAAATTTGCATTTTCCCACCACTGGTGTGTTTCCACCAAACAGACTTGTTGCGGATAAAAATCAGTGAGTGATAACATAGTGCACACAAAATGTACTTTTTCACTTAAGTTTTCATGTACCGAATAAAAATCTAAAGTTCAATGTGTTTCCATTGCATTTTCAACTCTACCGATAGTTTTCTCACAAAAACTGTGTGCCTACTCTGGCCTTGGCACATGCGCTCTACCCAACAGCTCGCAGATACAGTGCGGGTATGCTGTGCTGGTAGGCTAGTCTACATTATGTGATTATTATGGATAAGAGCAAGAATATTTATGGATAAATATTTGTATTTGTCAAACGGCAGTCAAGCATTGATCATCATGTCAACAGAATCAGACCCTCAATATTTATTGGAAAGGAACATCAAGATCACTTTCACCACCCTGTGAAGTTCATCATAAGTTATTTCATCTGTAGCCTAATAAACTGCATGTTTTCCCGAGTCGTAGTGGGAGGACCACACACCATATCTTTGCGTGTAGTTTACTTCGATATGATGGTTATTATATATAAATATTTGCACATAAAGGCGTTTCCACCGCCATTTCTCGCATAATTAATTTTACAGACACAAAAATATCCCACCAACGAACATATTTTTTTGTCGGCATTTATAAAATTGTACCGAAACTTCCTGTTTCCATCACCGCTGTCTTCATTTTTTTTATACGGTATGACTTTACTCGCAAAAAAACTGTGGATGCGTACGTGGTTAGTGATATAATTTTAATTGTTATGGTGAGTAAAGTAAAACATTTGATTTTACAAAAGTTTTACATTCTGTCATAAAGAGCACATGTACAACACATTTTCCCATCTCAATAGGTAAAACATTTTTAGGACTATAGTAAGTGCCTCTCTTAAGCTTAATTAAATAATGAAAAAATCACTAATTTTTGTAGTCATCTAAATGCATTTCAGTGCTTTAGGTATGTGTCAAGTACAATAAAAATACATTTTGACAAAATATATTGTAGCTGCGGCAGCCTATTCGAGGATCTGGAAGCATGTGTTGGAGGCGTGGCCTTGGGTTAGAGCTCTTTGGGCTACCCATGAGAGAAAGTGTCATGCCAGTTCATGTGTGATGTTGTACTCTGTCAATAAAGGTTGAACTTGTATACTGCCAGTTCTGCAGTCTTAATGAAACTGACACACAGTGCCTTCAGAAAGTATTCATACCTGTTGAATTATTCCACATTTTGTTGTGTTACAGCCTGAATTCAAAATTGATTAAATAGATTTATTTTCTCACTCATCTTCACAAAATACCCAACCCACAATGACAAAGTGAAAACATGTTTTTAGAAATGTTTGCAAATGTATTGAAAATGAAATACAGAAATATCTAATTTACGTAAGTATTCACACCCCTGAGTCAATACTTTGTAGAAACACCATTGGCAGTGATTACAGCTGTCTTTCTAGTTAAGTCTATAAGAGCTTTCCACACCTGGATTGTGCAAAATTTGCCCATTATTCTTTTCAAAATTCTTCAAGCTCTGTCAAGTTGGTTGTTGATCATTGCTAGACAGCCATTTTCAGGTCTTGCCATAGATTTTCAAGTAGATTAAAGTCAAAACTGTAACTCGGCCACTCAGGAACATTCACTGTCTTCTTGGTAAGTAACTCCATTTTAGATTTGGCCTTGTGATTTAGGTTATTGTTCTGCTGAAGGTGAATTCATCTCCCAGTGTGTGGTGTTGAGCAGACTGAACCAAGTTTTCTGCTAGGATTTTGCCTGTGCTTAGCTCCATTCCGTTTCTTTTTTATTCTGACAAACTCCCCAGTTCTTAATGATTACAAGCATACCCATAACATGATGCTGCCACCAATATGCTTGAAAATATGAAAAGTGGTGTGTTGTATTGGATTTGCCTCAAACATCACGTAAAAAGGGAATAGCTTTGCCAAACGTTTTGTAATATTACTTGAGTGCCTTGTTGCAAACAGGATGCATGTCTTGTAATATTTTCATTCTGTACAGGCTTCCTTCTTTTCACTCTGTCAATTTGGTTGGTATTGTGGAGTAACTACAATGTTGTTGATCCATTCTCAGTTTTCTCCTATCATAGCCATTAAATGATGTAACTGTTTTATGTCACCATTGGCCTCATGGTGAAATCCCTGAGCGGTTTCCTTCTTTTCCGGCAACTGAGTTAGGAAGGACTTTGTAGTGACTCACTGGATCAAGTGTAATTAATAACTTTTTATTTTATTTTGACCCATCTACCAATAGATGCCCTTCTTTGCGAGGCAATAGAAAACCTCCCT